ACAATTGTCCAATTAAACTTCTGAGGATAGTGACGTGAGCTGTCAGCTAAATGCAATCTCATATATGGTAACATGCCCCCGAATTACAGACCATATATACATATAAAATTCATAATATACCTAATGACAATTCTTCTGAGCTTGTCATAATAACTTTGAGAACAGCAAGCAGATGTGTAAATATTTCTATGGCATTTTTTATTTGGCCCTGTGCAATCTGGAGTTTAGCTTTGATTCACCATCTTTCTCCTAGTTTGGGCCTACCTGCCCATCTGATCCAAGAACAACAGTGGTTGCAGTCTCGACATCTCCAATGAAATTGGTATGTAATTTCCAAGCATAAGTTATTCCTTAAAAATCTGATGAGAAGAAAGAGCAGTATAATCTTAACTCCAGCGGCTTCATCTTTTTACTCTGACGATCAGTACTTTACATAGTCTGCCCTGCTGCAAATATACGAAGACAGGAGGTGAGCAATACATCATGCAAAACTTGAAAAACACATACAATAGTGGAACTTATGATTATCATCCCAAGCCAGGAAGGTTCCAGATATACTTACAGAAGTCAAAATTGAATTAAATTAACGCATCTAGAAGAAGTTGCATACATCATTATATTTGTCCTATCCATGGGGATACAAGAAATAGTCAAATAATCGGTAAAAAACAGAAGCATAATACAAAGTCAATGACTGAAATGAAAAAAAAAACCTGTGGAGTGCATCCAGAAGCAGAATAACCAGAGATAGCCTTGGATTTTGAGAGGCATACTCATCCTTATGCCTCAATTTGTTCGTGCTGCCCCAATGAAAATCTCAGAATTTGGTGTAGCAATTGCTTCTTCAAGGCGTAAAATCATCCTTCCGTGCCTCAATTGCTTATGCTGCCCAAATGAAGAAAAGGGCTCATCTCCAATTACCCAAAGGAAGTTCAAGCCAATAGATTTGCTTATGGCTCGTCAAATGCTAAAACAACTAACTAATCATCAATTACCCAGAGGAAGTTCACCAACAGATTTGTTTTGGTTCTCAAAATGAACAATAGCTCATCTTTTACACCAAGAGGAAGTTCCAACAGATTTATTCTTCTGTTTAGCAGATTATTTAGTTGATAGTCTCATGTTTCCATTTCATACCTCTTGTCTACAAGCGTTCTGATGGACCCAGGGTAACAAAATGTAAAAGCAAAGGGCAAAAGGGTAAAGGGTGTGGCTGACAGGTGGCATTAAGCATGAAGGGGTGAGTGTTGGTTAGAATCTATAAAAGAGAGACGTGAGAGAGGGATAGGAGGATCTTTGGATTTTTGAGAATTGGAGGTGCTGACCCTCGAAGTTCAGCTTAAGGGAGGAATTGGCCCTCAACATTTTTCTATTTCTTTCGGTTTATTTGTTCTTTTGGCTGTTGTTGTGTTTTTGGCTATTTTCATCTTTGTATCTCTTTGCTGATTATCAATACATATGTATATCACTACCTGGGTATTTGTGGCTGGTTGTTTTGTGTTCTGAGCATCCGCTGTTGGCTGTTATTTGTTAGCTATAGGGTGAGTTTAGGAGATGTTTCCATCATGTTCTTCAATCGGATTTCTCATCCAATTGTCTGTCTTCATTTGAGCGAACCCTGTTGAATGGCAAGTTCATGTACAATTGTCCTTGGTAGATCCTTGTTCAAGTATTCTTCAACGATGATCCAGCATAGAATCTCTCACGCTGTTTCACTTGCAAAGGTACAAAAGAAGAAACTAACCAGGTGTTCATTGCAAATCTTGATGAATTTTTATATGTTTGTTATTTAGAAGATTAAGATATGGAAAAAGGGTAATAGTGATGAGATCTTGTATTTCCATGGAAACAGAGTAAAGATTACTAATTGCCGTGAATAATTAAAAATTGTAATAAAAAAGTGCCTTTAAAGCCAATGTCCATGGAGAAAAGGGCAAATTATGGCTTGCAAAAGTTGGTTTCCCTTTACAAAGAAAAAATTTTAGTAGTTAATATAAACTATTTTTAATTTGGAGATTATTCCAGTCATTTCAAAAGGCAAAATCTCTTGATTTTCAAATGTAAATGAAGAGTGGATGGGATAAATGTTAAAGGAACAGGGTGTTGGTTTCTTCTACTCCAAATTTTTTTTGACAAATCTGTAATGCTTGAGTACATCCAAATTTCGTTTCACAAAACCAGTGGATGTGCAGATACAAATATAAGTGCTTTTTAACAATTTAATTCATTAAGTTACGAAAAAACTGCTACTGATTAAATATAAATGTTGAATGAAATTTTTACCTCGAAACGTAAGAAGTTAGATCAAAAGAGCTATTTAATCATTTCCAGTAAGCTCAGATCACAGAGATATGACAAGTTTCTTCATACAAACTTTTTATATGAAATCGGTATTCCGTGGGAGTACTGGGTTATGAATTTTATTAGGAATTTGGGATCTTTGCTTCTGCCATTTAGAGTTATTTCAAAAACATATCATATTATATTATGTAGAGATTAATATAAAAAATAAGTAAATTTTATTTTAGTAAAATAAGAAAAAATACCTTAAGACCCAGCACCTAAGCTTGTCATAAGAACTTGGAAATTGGAGAACAGCAAGCAGATGTGTAAATCGATGTGAAGACAAGGGAGAAGTTGCAACATCATTATCTTCTGGTCTTCGCATATGCATCCTCTATTTTTCTGATGGTGAGCATCCTGTCAAGAACAAAAAACAAGATAACATTTAAAGGAGGAATAGATAACAGGGCTTAGACAAAATTTACCAAATTATGATGTCATTCAGCCGAATGACCTACACATTAACTAGTGAGTATGTTTCCATTCTTTAGTGATTGCCCAGACCCGTAAGAGGAAAACAACTTAAGAAATAATTATTCAACAACAGTGCAATCAGTTTCTTAGAATAATACTTGTGGGTGCCATCGAAGAGAATAACCACAGATTGGATTCGAAGCCATAACTCCACGTCCATTAAGACTCATCCTTCGCGGCTCAATGTTCGTGCTGCCCCATTGAAAATCTCAGAAGTTGGTGTAGCAATTGCTTTTCAAGGCATAAGACCTCATCCTTCCCTGCCTCAACTTGTCATGCTGCCCAATGAAGAAAAACGCGGCTCATCTCCAATTACACCCAAAGGAAGTTCAAGCCAACAGAATTGCTTCTGTCTTCAAATGCTAAAACAAACTATCTAACACAATTACACCCAGAGGAAGTTCACCCAACAGATGTTGTCTGGTTTCAAGGCTGAACAACTAGCTCATCTTTAGTTACACCAAGAGGAAGTTAAGCCAACAGTTTATTTTAGAGGCGACAGTTTTGCGTCAACTCAACTTCCGCAACTTCACTTCGGGGCCATCATGTAATATCATTATTGGAAAATTTGGCCTAACATGTACGATCCATTTCACCATCTTAATCTGTTCTCCCCTTTCCTAGTCTTCTCTTCACGTGACAATTCAAACAAGGTTTTGAAAACGGACCGGACCGTCGGTCGGACCGGTTCGACGGTGACCGTGCATTTCCGGTCGGAATACTTCAAAACGTTAATTGCATTTTAACCGGATTGGACCGCGGGTAGACCGCCGGAATAGTGCCGAATCGCGGTCAATCGCAGTTGAATCCTGCTGAATTCCAGCACCGATCGGGGAGAAATCCCTGCCATTAGACTTGACGACATCTTACTACAAAAACCCTACATTTCAGTGGCCGGTCGTCCAGCCATCGTCGCTCGCGTCCACCTAAACTTCACGCGACGTCAGATTTTTTGTTGATTCCGGCGATTTTCGGCGCCGATGGAACTCTTTGGCACCACCATAGAGTCGCCGGCACCTACACATCAAAGCCCAAGATTCCAGCTTCGATTGGCCATCGATCGTCGCTGCGCAGGCACCACTCACCAGAATCTTCGTGCGAACAGGGCTGTTTAGATAGATTTCAAACTTAAGGAGGTATTTAGGGGTCTTTTTGATGAATTTCAAACCTTTGGGACTAAAAATAGTTTTACAAATTCCGGGTTTCCCAGACGACCGATTCCATTTCACCATCTCCAATCTTGTTCTCCCCTTTCCTTGGTCTTCTCTTCAACGATGACAATTCAACAACATGCTCAAGCTCAGGGTGTATACCACTTTTATATTCTTATCTCTGCCTCGAATACCTTAATAGCATCAACGCTGCATTCGCAACCTCCTCTTCTACTTGCATATTTGAAGTTCATTCGCAGCTCTCTAACTCTGACCATGTCTATACATCGGTTAGATAGTCTCATGTTTCCATTTCTATACCCTTATCGTGATTGCCCTTTTCTGTGAGAAGAAAATAATTAATCAAACAACCATCCAATCAAGCTTCTGAGATTGTTAACATGAGCTGTCAGCCAAATGCAATCTCATAAATGGTAACATGCTCCCTATCTACAGACCATATATACTTATAAAATTCATACTACATCTAAAGAAGATTCTTCCCAGCACCTGAGCTTGTCATAAGAACATGGAGAACAAGAAGCATATGTGTAAATGTTTCTATGGCATTTTCGGAACTGCATTTTTAAGTGCGCTTATCAAAGCTTGAACTCCATGATTACATCACAAATAATGATCCAAAACACTGAAAAAATTTAATGAAAAACTAGTAGTTTCTTATTGAACACTTAAGTTCATATAAATAATAATTGGTGGATTCTTAAAGCAATATGTCTCTAGAAAAGTATGTCAATGAAAAATATCATGTAAAAAATTAAAAGAACCACAAATAAAAAGTCAAAAGACAGTAATTGATGTGATTAATACCTGTGGAAAGCTGTCTAATGGCAAAATAACCACGGTCAACCTTGGATTCTGAAAGACAAACCTCCACGTCCTGCCAACGGGACAAGCCATTGTACAAATATTTTCCTCTTTTTGTTCTTTTTTCCCTTTTTATTCTTTTTTCATCGTCTTCTTTTTCTTTTTGCTTCTTCTTTTATTTTTTTATTTTTTTATTTTTTGAACAAGTTATTTTTTTTTTTTTTTTGGGACAAGGATCCACCACCTATCAGGCTACAGCAATGTTATTAAATTTACTGCAACATGCGCAGGCGTTTGTCATATATAACTGCAAAAGCAAAAAACATAAGAGGGAAGGGTGAGTAATCACAACAAATGAATGAAATCAGCAGAAAAAACAGAAGCCAGTACAAATACCTAAATTATATTAGAACAGCCTGTTGCTTGAAGGGCTCCGGAACAAAAGCTGGAGATCACAATGGACAAGGAAAAAGGCTTGCACCACCAGATAGCCAAAGAATGACTTCAGATACAGACAAGAAAACAGAAGCCAGTATAAACTACCCAAATTAAATTGGAAAGAGAGCAATCCAAAGTGCCCCAGAACAAAAGCTGGAGATCATAATGGACCTGGAAAAAGGCCTGCACCACCAGATAACCACACTAAGAAAATTCTCAACGCTGAATCAGCGTAAACGTCTTATTGAGCAAAACTTTAACCTTCAATGCAACATAAATTCTTACCTGGATTCAGGGAAGGCTTCCAATCATTAGTTTTCCAATCACATGCCAGGCTGCAGTAATGTTATTAAATTGATTGCAGCATGCAAAGGCGTTTATCATATATAACTGCAAAAGCAAAAAACAGATGAGGAAAGGTTGAGTAAACACAACAAATGAATGAAAATGAAAGACTTCAGATCAAGAGAAGAAAACATAAGCCAGTATAAACTGCCTAAATTATATTAAGAAAAACAGCGACCCAAAGTGCTCCAAAACAAAAGCTGGAGATCACAATAGGCATGAAAAAAAGGCCTGCACCACCGGATAAACACACTAAGAAACTTTGCAACACAGAATCGGCATAAAAGTCTTCTTTTGAGCAAAAATTCAACCTTCAGTGCAACATAAATTCTTACCTGGTTTTAGGGAAGACTTCCATTCATTATTTGATTTGTTAGTTGCAAATCCTTTGCTGCAATCACTGGGAAAAAATATAAAAATTCATCAAACCATGGATCAGAACTGTTTAACACTACAACAATATTGTTACCAAAGCAAAGGAGAAGAAATCAAAAGACAATATAGCAACTTTTGAAGATGTCTGACCTAACAGGCGAGAATGATAAGCACCATCAACAGCAACATAGGGTGGACAATATGCAGCACCCGCCAGAACTGGAAGCCTAAAAAGGCAAAAAACGCAACTTCAGTTAATTCCCAACATTCTCGGAAATATCAAAGCATGAATATCAAATGATTCAGAGAAGAAACATGGCAGTAACACTACCCCCACTCTCAACCCAATGAACGCAAATGCAATCACCTATCAGTTGAATCAAGGGAAATATTTAATGCCAGTACATTATAAATTAGGCTTCCACAAAGAAAAGTAAATGATTTCAACCATGTGCGGCAAATAAATCACCCACCTAACAAACTAACAAAGACGTTTAATGGAGGCCCAAAACGTTTAAGCATAGAGAGAAATACTATACCATGTCATTTCTGAATTCCCCAAACCAAGCTATGGCTGAGCAACATAACCAAGAAATGTTGTGCCAACAGCAGGACCTCCAATACCACAAGGATGATGGCCCCCAAATTTCCCCTCCACCACTAGGAATTGGCCTGTTTATAATCTAAAACTGCAAGGATATTAAAGGGTTAGACGTATTTTCTAGAACATTGACAAAAACCACATTCTAAGTAGATCAATAAAGAGAATAATTGATAATCATTGATACGAAGAACCTTGTATGACATCCCATTATTAGGAACCGCATTTTTTTTGTTCGTTTGTCAAACCTTGAACTCCATGATTACGTCACAAATAACGATCTAAAACAACAAAGAACTAATGAAAAACTAATAGTATTTTCATTTTGAACACTTAACTTTACATAAATAATAATTGGTGGATTCTTAAAGCAATACGTCTCTAGAAAAGGACTATTGGTAGTATGTCAATGAAAACTATCGTATAAAAACTAAAGAATTAAAACAAGCACAAGTACAAAGTCAAAAGACTATAAATGAAATAATTATTACCAATGGAGTGCAATCCAATGGCAGAATAAGCACGAATAGCCTCGGATTTTGCAACACAACCCTCCACGTCTACCAATAGGACAAGCATTTGCAAAGTTTTTTTTCCTCTTTTTTCAATTTTTCTCTCTTCTTTTTTTTTTTCTGTTTTCTTTTTAACTTTTTTTCTTCCCTTCCTTTCTTTTTTCCTCTTTTTTTCCTTTCCACCACCTGCCACAATAATGTTATTAAATTGACTGTCGCATGAGCAGCCATTTGCCATCTAACTGCAAGACCAAAAAACAGAAGAGGAAAGTTAAGTAAACTCAACAAATGAATGAAAATGAAAGACTTCAGATCAAGAGAAGAAAACAGAAGCCAATATAAACTACCTTGCCATCTATAGCTGCAAAAGCAAAAAACAGAAGAGGGAAGGTTAAGTAAACTCAACAAATGAATGAAAATGAAAGACTTCAGATCAAGAGAAGAAAACAGAAGCTAGTATAAACTACCTAAATTGTATTGGAACAAAAAACGGCCAATGTGCTACTAAACAAAAGCTAGAGATCATAAAGGACCTACAAGAATGCCTGCACCACCGGATAACCAAACTAAGAAATTTTGCAACACTGAATCAGCGTAAAAATCTTATTGAGTAAAACTTTAACGTTCAATGCAACATAAATTCTTACTTGGTTTCAAGGAAGGCTTCCATCCATTATTTTCCCTTTTTTTCTTTTCAACAAGGATCAGCCACCTTTCAAGCTACAATAATTTTATTAAATTTATTGCACCATGCGTAGGCGTTTGTCATGTATAACTGCAAAAGCAAAAAACAAAAGAGGGAAGGTTAATTAAACTCAACAAATGAATGAAAATGAAAGACTTCAGATCAAGAGAAGAAACAGAAGCCAGCATAAACTACCTAGATTGTATTGGAACAAACAGCAACCCAAAGTGCTTCGGCACAAAAGCTGGAGATCACAATGGAGCTGGAAAAAGGCCTGCAACACCAGATAACCACACTAAGAAACTTTGCAACACCGAATCGGCGTAAAAGTTTCATTGAGCAAAACTTCAACCTTCAATGCAACATTAATTCTTGCCTGGTATCAGGGAAGGCTTCCATTCATTATTTGATTTGTTAGTGCTAATTCCTTTGCTGCATTTAATGGGAAAACTATAAAATTCATCAAACCATGGAACAAAATTGTTTAGCACTACAACAATAATGTTATCAAAGCGAAGGAGAAAAAATAAAAAGACAATATAGTAACTTATCAAAGAAATGGCAAATATAACACTACTAACCTTGAGGAACCAGTTGAAGATGTCTGACCTAACGAGCAAGGATGATAAGCATCATCAACAACAGTATATGGTGGATAATATGTAGCACCCAAAGCTCCTGCAGCACCCGCTAGAACTGCAAGCCTAAGAAAGAAAAAACAAAAACCATAATTCATTCCCAGCATTCTCGGAGAGCGCAAAGCATGAACATCAAAAGATTTATAAAAGCAAATACATCATAGAAGAAACATGGTAATAACACTACCCCCACTCTAAACCCAATGAACGCAAATGCAATCGCCTATCAGATGAATCAACGGAAATATTAAATTCTAGTACATTATAAATTCTACTTCAATAACGAAAAGTAACTGATTTCAACATTGTGCAACAAATCAATCACCCACCTAACAAAGACGTTTAAAGGAAGCCCAAAACAATTAAGCAAAGAGAGAACTACTATACCGTGTCATTTCGGAATTCCCCAAACCAAGCTGTGGCTGAGTAACATAACCAGGAAATACCATGCCAACAGCAGGAACTCCTATACCACAAGGATGCTGGGCCCCAAATTTCCCCTCCACCACTAGGAAATGGCCTCTTTACAATTTGAAAACAGGAAGGATAATAAAGGGTTAGACCTTTTTTCAGAACGTTGACAAAAATCACACTCCTAAGGAGATCAATAAATAGAATAATTAAAAATCATTGATTTGAAGAACCTTGTATGACATCCGGTATAGTGATCTGGATTTTCTATCATGGTAGACTTGGCCCGGCCCAAAATATCAAAACCCAACATCAACACTTACTTGGGTCTGGACCTATACAACTTCGATCTTACCCAAAAATTCCTTGAAGTAAATGTAAAATATCTATGGGTAGTGACTTTTGACTCCACCTATTTGATCAGATCCCACATTACTAACTACACTTATTTTATATTTAAAAAAATTTCTCTTTCAACCCTATTTAATACACATAAACCTTAATTAGTGTATTAAATAGGGTTTAAAGAGAATTTCAATTTTATAATCAAAATAATGCAAAATCTGAAAAGTGGCAGTGTACTTTCATAAAAACAATGTGCATGATAGTTTAATTTAAGGATTTATGAAAGAAATAAAGTTTAAGATTATAAAACAGTGTGGGATGTGACACAAAAAAACTTTAAAAAATGGTGGATACTAATCAAATAAGTGACGGTTAAAAATCACTTCCCATATTTATCTATTCCTAGGGTTAATTTCATCCGTACGAAAGGTGGTAGGTATCTACGCACCCTCGACAATTTTAAAGATATCAATAATATGTATTTACGTTCTTTTTCTTGGAATGATTGCTACAATAAGCTTTAGTAAATCCTTTTTTCCTTTAAAAAAAAAGGGTACATATTACATGCTTACAATACTTGTTTGACATTTAGCACCCCTTTCAAGTAAGAATGAGTGCCTTTAAAGCCAATGTTCCATGGAAACAAGCACTATTTTGGCTTGCAAAATGTTGTTCCCTTCTTTACAAGAAAAATAATTTTAGTAGTTAATTAACTACTTCTTCTCTAATTTGGAGAGTTATTCCAGTCATTTCAAAAGGCATTTTCTTTGATTTTCAAATGTAAGAGAAGATGTGGATGGGATAAATTGTTAGATGGAACAGAGGTGTTGATTTCTTCTCATTCCAAATTTTCTTTTGACAATTCTGTAATGCTTGGGTACATCAAAATTTCGTTTCATGAAACCAGTGGGTATGTGCAGATACAAATATAAGTGCTTTTTTTAACAAAAATAATTCATTAGTTCGAACATCTACTGATTAATATAAATGTTGATGCAAATCTTTTTTACCAAACGTTAGTGTTACCAAAGAATAATTTTTTAAGACAAAGTTAGATCAAAAGAGCTATTTTAATCATTGAGCCAGTAACAGCTCATGATCACAAGAGATATGACAAGTTTCTTCATCAAACTCTTTTTATATGAAATCGGTTTATTCCGTGTGGTACTGGGTTATGAATTTATTATAGATTTGGGAATTCTTTGCTTCTGCCATTTAGAGTTATTTCAAAACATATCATATTATATTTAGTGAGATTATAAATAATAAGTAATTTTATTTTTAGTAAAATAAGAAAAAATACCTTAGACCCAGCACTAAGCTTGCATAAGACTTGGAACTTGGAGAACAGCAAGCAGATGTTAAATCGTGTACGAAGACAGAGGAGAAGTTGCATACATCATTATCTTCTGGTCTTTCGCATATGCATCCTTCATTTTTCTGATGGTTGAGCATCCTGTCAAAGACACAAAATTAACAAGATAACATTTAAAGGGAGGAATAGATAACAGGGCTTTAACAAAATCTTACCAAATATATGGTAAATGAGAAATAATTAATCAAACAACTGTCCAATTAAAATTCTGAGTATAGTGACGTGAGCTGTCAGCAATGCAACCCATATATGGTAACATGCTCCTGAATTAGAGACCATATATACATATAAAATTCATATATACCCATGACAATTCTTCTGACTTGTCATAAGAATTTGAGAACAGCAAGCAGATGTGTGAATGTTTCCATGGCATTTTATATTTGGCCCTTGGCAATCTGGAGTTTAGCTTGATTTGCCATCGTTCTCCTAGCTTGGGCCTACCTGCCTGTCTGATCCAGAACGACAGTGGTTGCAGTCTCCACCTCCAATGAAACTGGAATGTAATTTCCAAACATAATTATTCCTTAAAAATCTGATGAGAAGAAGAGCCTAACAAATCTTAAACCCGCAGTCTTTCATCTTTTTCCTCTGACGACCAGTACTTTTCATAGTCTGCCCTGCTGCAAATATACGAAGACAGAGGAGGTGACAATACATCATGCAAAACTTGAAAAACACATACATAGTACAACTACGATTATCATCCCAGCGTGATTGTTCCGAGATACTTACAAAAGTTATCTAGTAGAAGTTGCATACCTCATTATCTTTTGGTCCTCAAATGGAGTGTACAAATAGAACTGTCATAAACAGTAAAACACGAGGCATAAATACAAATTCAATTGATTAATAAAATAATTAATACCTGTGGAGTGCCATCCAGAAGCAGAATAACCACAGGTAGCCTTGGATTTTGAAAGACATACCTCCCATCTCGTTAATGTGACAGTTTTTGTAAACATTTTTTTTTTCCTTTTTTCATTCTTCATAGTTTTCTTGTTTCTTTTTTCTTTTTTCTTTTTTTGTTCTCCCCTTTCTTGGTCTTCTCTTCAACGGTGACAATTCAACAACATCATGCAGCTCAGGGTGTATACCACTTTTATTCTTATCTCTTGCCTCGAATACCTTAATAGCATCAATGCTGCATTGCAACCTCCTCTTCTACTTGCATATTTGAAGTTCATTCGCAGCTCTCTAACTCTGTCTCATGTTTCCATATCTATCCCTTATCGTGATTGCCCTTTTCTGTGAGAAGAAATAATTAATCAAACAACCATCCAATCAAGCTTCTGAGATTGTTAACATGAGCTGTCAGCCAAATGCAATCTCATAAATGGTAACATGCTCCCAATCTACAGACCATATATACTTATAAAATTCATACTACATCTAAAGAAGATTCTTCCCAGCACCTGAGCTTGTCATAAGAACATGGAGAACAAGAAGCATATGTGTAAAGTTTCTATGCATTTTGGAACTGCATTTTTAAGTGCGCTATCAAAGCTTGAACTCCATGATTACATCACAATATGATCAAAACACTGAAAAATTTAATGAAAAACTAGTAGTTTCTTATTGAACACTTAAGTTCATATAAATATAATTGGTGGATTCTTAAAGCAATTGTCTCAGAAAAGATGCAATGAAAATATCATGTAAAAATTAAAAGAACCACAAATAAAAGTCAAAAGACAGTAATTGATGTATTAATACCTGTGGAAAGCTTCTATGGCAAAATAACCACGGCAACCTTGGATTGAAAGACAAACCTCCACGTCTGCCAACGGGACAAGCCATTGTACAAATATTTTCCTCTTTTTGTTCTTTTTTCCCTTTTTATTCTTTTTTCATCGTCTTCTTTTTCTTTTTGCTCCTTCTTTTATTTTTTTATTTTTTTATTTTTTGAACAAGGATCCACCACCTATCAGGCTGAGCAATGTTATAAATTTACTGCAACATGCGCAGGCGTTTGTCATATATACTGCAAAAGCAAAAAACATAAGAGGGGGTAGTAACACAACAATGAATGAAATCAGCAGAAAAAACAGAAGCCGTACAAATACCTAAATTATATTAGAACAGCTGTTGCTTGAAGGCTCGGACAAAAGCTGGAGATCACAATGGACAAGGAAAAGGCTTGCACCACCAGATAGCCAAAGAATGACTCAGATACAGACAAGAAAACAGAGCCAGTATAACTACCCAATTAAATGGAAAAGAGCATCCAAATGCCCCAGACAAAGCTGGAGATCATAATGGACCTGGAAAAAGGCCTGCACCACCAGATAACCACACTAAGAAATTTCTCAACGCTGATCAGCGTAAACTCTTATTGAGCAAAACTTACCTTCAATGCAACATAAATCTTACCTGATCAGGGACTTCCAATCATTAGTTTTCCATTCACATGCCAGCTGCAGTAATGTTATTAAATTGTTGCAGCATGCAAAGGCGTTTATCATATATAATGCAAAAGCAAAAACAGATGAGGAAAGGTTGAGTAAACACAACAATGAATGAAAATGAAAGACTTCAGATCAAGAGAAGAAAACAAAGCAGTATAAACTACCTAATTTATTAAGAAAAACAGCGACCCAAATGCTCCAAAACAAAGCTGGAGATCAAATAGGCATGGAAAAAAAGGCCTGCACACACCGGATAACCACACTAAGAACTTTGCAACACAGAATCGGCATAAAAGTCTTCTTGAGCAAAAATTCAACCTTCAGTGCAACATAAATTCTTACCTGGTTTTAGGACATTCCATTCATTATTGATTTGTTAGTTGAAATCCTTTGCTGCAATCACTGGGAAAAAATATAAATTCATCAAACCATGGATCAGAACTGTTTAACACTACACAATATTGTTACCAAAGCAAAGGAAAAAATCAAAAGACAATATAGCAACTTTGAAGATGTCTGACCTAACAGCGAGAATGATAGCACCTCAACAGCAACATAGGGTGGACAATATGCAGCACCCGCAGAACTGGAAGCCTAAAAAGGCAAAAAACGCAACTACAGTTATTCCCAACATTCTCGGAAATATCAAAGCATGAATATCAAATGATTCAGAGAAGAAACATGGCAGTAACACTACCCCCACTCTCAACCCAATGAACGCAAATGCAATCACCTATCAGTTGAATCAAGGGAAATATTTAATGCAGTACATTTAAATTGGCTTCCAAAAGAAAATAAATGATTTCAACCATGTGCGGCAAATAAATCACCCACCTAACAAACTAACAAAGACGTTTAATGGAGGCCCAAAACATTTAAGCTAGAGAGAAATACTATACCATGTCATTTCTGAATTCCCCAAACCAAGCTATGGCTGAGCAACATAACCAAGAAATGTTGTGGCCACGCATGATAATGTAATTAATTAAGCGTTTCAATATGTATAATCTTTAAAACACAGAAGGGAAGACAAATCCAAGCATACATAGCAAAAATTAATTAGAAAAAAAAAAAAAAAAAAAAAACTGTTATTTTTATTTTGTTGATCCATATTGTTTATGATGTTCCTTTCAATAGGAAGAATATTAATGGGTATGTTTGGTTCATTATTTTGGATAGGATTTTGAGAATAATATTGGGTAGTTGGATAGGGGAGTATTACGAGGTAAAATTTAAAAAATTTATGAAAAAGCCCCTAGGTTTGCTAATTTAATTAAACACCCTAATATATAAAATGACAAAAACACCCCCACCACCCGCAGTGCTATATTCCGACCACCATCGCCGGAATCTAGTCGAAAAATTTTGTTACGACACAAACAAGTCGAATCTGTGTTGTAACGCGTCGCTATGGCCTTTTTAGGCCAGATCCGCAGAAAATGCCACATCTACGGTCAAATGTTGCCGTCGACGGCCGGAAAAGGCCAAAGAAGTTCATCTTTGGCCGTCAGCGACGGCCAGATATGGCCTTTTCTGGTCAGATCTGTGGTGGATCTGGCCGGAAAAGACCAGATCGGTGAACTACTGACCAATTATGGTTGTGGTGTAGGCTGTTGTATAGATTCCGGCTACCACCAACGGTGGTTGCCAAAATCTGGCAAGTATGGGTTGATGGGGGTGCTTTTGTTAATTTTTAAACTTTTTTCTAGGGGTATTTAACGAAATTAATAAACTTAAGGGGTCTAAAAATAATTAAAAAATTATAATAATAGTTCTGGAATAATGTGCCAAACAATATTTGAAAAATAAGATTCGGAATATGGGTAGAAATATTGAACCAAACGCACCCAATACCTATAAATGTTAGATTTTTTAAGCATATGTTTGATTTGTTTGACTTTGACATATAAAATTTATTTTTCCAAGATTTTCATGAATTTTTTTATCACATGTGCAGATTTAATTTTATAAATAATTATATATGTACAGGTTTATTCTACAAAGTTATAAACCTTAAATATTTTTAAGTAATTAAACTCGTTAATCCGGGTNGGTTTCGAGGTATTGCATGGAGATACACTTGTCGTCCTGGGCCCCACGGGCGAAGATTTGGCCGGTTTCGGGAGAGTGAAAGGCGGAGAAAGGAGGGTGGGCCCATTTGTCGGGCTCGGCGGGGACGGAGTCGAGGTGGGAGTTGAAGAGAATGGAAGGGAGAGAAGGGTTTGAGCCCGGCCAAGTTAAGAGAAGGAGGAGTTTGTTGGGGACGAACTCGAGGATTTTGGATTGGATGCCGATGGATTGGGCTTGGGTTAGGAGGAAGGAGACGGGTGCGGTGTAGTTAGGATTGGGGTGGGCTGTTTTGAATCTTAAATATTGTTTGTAGCGAGTGATGGGTTCTGGTTCTTGTACTTCTTGTTGCTGTGTTGAAGAAACGTGGGAAGCAAGAAGGGTTGCTGTGAGTATGAGAAGTAGATAACGGGAGGTGGCGGCCATGGATTGCTCACTGTGGAGAAGCTTGACTGCAGTGAGAGTGAAAGTGAGTAGCTGGATCAGATGGACGATTAAATTGTCAATCCAAAGATGGAAAAATATTCATAAAATACTATTATAATTTTAATGAAAGATGGAAGAAGAAGGCACCTGTGAATTGATTTGAAAGAGATGAAGATTGAAAAAGCGGGTGTAAGTGTGACAATTTGATCGTGTTGTGGTCAATGCGAGAATGTAGCTCGACCTGGAATGATCTCGACAACTATGATTGATCGACCTAACATAAGTTCTGGAGCTTTGATTCACAATATAGAGAAATTTTTCTTGTTCTTTTCTTATAAACTTATGATGATTGTTTTAATAAAGATGATTGTTTCTTTCATGTTTATTATGAACTAAATTTATTCTCTAGGGCTAAGATGTAGCCCAATCTCTTGATTATGTATTGATTTATGCTTGTTAATTTTTATTAAGAATTCTTCATAAAGTTTTACTATTATACCTAATGCTTTTGATTCTTAAGGGTCCTTGAATTGAATGAACTAATGGACTAGGTTGAGATCGAGAGATGATACTTAGTTGGTCTACGGTAGTGAAACCATAGGTTGAGTGAACGCTAGAGATAAGTTACCGCGACTTGTGAGGTTTTGGTAAACTCCATAGAGCGTAATGATCTTAAATTGCTTAAATCTGATTAGAGATAGTTCGGGTTAGTAATTAGGAGTTAATTCGATAATTGTTCGAGAGAAATTTATTGGAAATTTAGGGAGTTTGACCTGTAGGAAGAACTTAATAAAATTAGCATAAGTGATCGATACATATGAGTAAGAGTTGGTGTGAAGTCTATGCCCTAGGTCTAGTCATCTTGTTTTAACCCAAAGGTTTATTTTAATTGTTCTCTGTTCAGTTCTCTTTTTAATTTCATTTGTTAATTTAATTTAGTTTTTCCTTAATACAATTTGGATTGATCAAATATGAATAGAATAGTTTAATTGGTAATTGATAGTAGTAATTCCATTGGGTTCGATATCTGTAATTTTACACTTTATTACTTGCATGATTTCGTACACTTTGTTTTATCTTTGTTTTTGGCACTGTTGCCGGGGAATTATTT